AGAGAGAGAGAGAGAGAGAGAGAGAGAGAGAGAGAGAGAGAGAGAGAGAGAGAGAGAGAGAGAGAGAGGAACCGACCCCACAAACACAGCAGTTCCAACACAGCATAAAGGCATCTACATTTACGACTTGAGAGCCAATCAACTGAAGATCTAAGATCTTGGAAACATGGCAGTGACTTCCATTGCCTTCATCTGTGCAACAGTGTTAACTGCAACGAGGAGTGCAGTGTTCGTGACACTGAATGAAAACATGAGGGCATTTCAGACCTTTTTTTTTTTTCTTTTAACCCTCGGGCATTCTTTTAACCCCCCTCGTGGGACTTTTTTCCAGGTTTTTGTCCGTTTGACTGTTTTGAAAGAAATGGACCGAAATGGACCAGAACCTTACAAGAAATGTCCAAGAAGAAAGGGTTAAAGAAAAGCACAAGGGGTTAAACAAATTAAGTGCCTGCGGGTTAAAAAGTACCTGGTAGGTTAATAAAGTGTCAGGACACAAGTGATTGGGAGTTTAAATGAAGCGTTCAAGGAGTCCAAAAAGTCTTCCGCAGGTCTAAATATTGATGGGGGCTTAGAAAAATAGTGTTGGGTGGTTAATGAGAGATGATCAGTACCCCTTCTAGCATCCTAAGGGGGTCCTCCACACACCATCTTCGAATTTGAATATTATACTTCTGATCGCTGCGTCCTCGACCAAGCACACTGATATGGAGATTACCGTTGCTCACTGATTGATTGTCCGAGTTTTATGACAGAGTTTCGGAGCAAGAGTGCACGCCCCTAATACGCGAATAGTTGGACTTGCACAAGATTTAGTACTTACTTACCCTTGTGTTTAAGCGAAGAAAAAGAAAGATAGACAGAAAGAAAAGAAGCATCCCGAGTAAGTGGAACACATGGGTTCCCTCTGGGTTAAAGCAAAAAGAGAAAGAGAGCGAGACATATGCGTCCTGAGTTATCGAAAAACGTGGTTGTGTAAAGTCTTTTGACGGATTGTATCCTGCGATTTAACAGAAGATGTGGCTATGTAATGTCTCTAATGAATCGTATCGTGTAAGTTAAGTCGCCGCAAGTACTTGGCACATGTATTTGGCCGCGGGCCCGGAACTGCCCTGCTCACCACAAAAAGACGATACACAGATGTACCTCCGCCAGCCATTTCACCGCAGTCTTGTACTTCCGTGTTAATCACCGCACCTTTTTTTTCAAGCGGGCTAAGGTACTGGTGGTTTAATGGAAGACGTAGCTGCATATTTACTATTTAGTATTTAGTCTTTAACGGATTGTGTCGCGTGAGGTAACTGAACACGTGGCTGTGTACAGTCCTTTAGCGATCGTATATACGCCTTTAACGAATTTTAACGGACCACGTGGCCGTGTACAGTCTTTTATGGACCGTGTTGCGTACTTCCTTTCTTTCTCTGTCTCTTTCTTTTCTGTTTGTATTTAGCTTGTACGTGACGTATAGTTCTTTCTTTCCAAACGTTTTCGGAACATCTCAAATTGTTTTAGAAATCTTTATTTTGTGCACCCTGATGAATGGATTGTACACCCGACTCAGCTGCTTGTCCGCTCAGACATGATACATGCCCAGTTGGGCAATGTACGTAAAGCCAAGGATCCGCAATGTGATGAAAAGAACTGGACAATGCAGTGCTGGTGGAATCTCAACAAGCAGTGTACATCCTGATACGTACAAAAAATGGCACATAATAGCGCAGTGGAAGACTTAGATATAAGCCCTGACCTGACCGGGACTGACCTCTCTCACGTAGTACAAGACAGCGCAGCAGAATGCTAGAATACCAATGACTAGCCCAATCAATGTCGCAATGTAGACCACACATACATACATCATCCTTATCACAAGGTGTGAAGGGGGCCTGGCGCTACACACAGGAAGAACGCAACAGGCCAGACCATACACAGACGAAGAGGAGGGGATCAGACGAAGAAGAGGGGGAAGATGGGAATGTCGTCAACACCAAGTCTTCGGTACAAGTCCCAGATAATCCCTCGTCAAATGCCTGAAGCCTAATGTCGAGTCTGGATCCAAATGTCACCAACCCCGCTCTCTCGTAGTCTGCTGATGCAGTGAAGTCAGGTAGCGAGAGGGTGAGAGGGAAATGGTGGACTGAGAAGAGGAAGAAGAAGAACTCTCTCTCTTATGTGCCAGGTACTAGCCAAAGAAGATGGCGCTGTGGTGCAGGTACCTCGACGACGAAGCTGGAGCCATGGCGCTGCAGGTAAGTCTCCCTGGCCTCCGCCCAATCTCTCTCTCTCTCTCTCCAGTACTTCTCTAGCTCCTACTAGCGCCCAGCGCTGAAGACTACCGCTAACACTACTACTACTACTGCCGCGCTCCTCCAGAGTGCTGCTGCCGAAATCCTGAAGACTACCTCCTGCCTCCTGACCTGCACGTGAAGTGCCTGGGAAGTCCCTATGCAGCCTGCAGGGCGGGCCAGTCTTATATAGTGCTGGCCCCTCCAGGAGGCTGCTCTTGCCAATGCCAAAACGTGTCAGACCCTGTTCAAACAAAGGTTGTCTTGAAAACAGGCCGAAAAATGGCCTGAGCTACAACCCTGGTCTGGTGCCTGAGTTTCAGGGCAGGTCGATCTTATGAGGGCCTGAAAATGGCCCTCCGTTTCAGGCTGAAAAGACTCAGGGCCGGAAAGGCCCTGTTTTAGGCTGAAATGACACACGGTCTGTAGGCCCTTGTTTTCAGGCTTTCGGGCTGAAAACGACACAGGGCCTGTAGGCCCTTGTTTTCAGGCTTTCGGGCTGAAAACGACACGGGCCTGAAAATGGCCCATGCAGCCTGCTGCAGGCGCAGCATGTAACAGACATCCAGATTAGTGTTCGAGCCCTAGGTATGTCGGCCTTCACAATGTGCGTGTGGGATCGAGCCCAGGGTTTGCCGGTAGGCAATTGTGCGCTGTCGGTTATCATCCGCTTAGGGCTCCTCCTCTTAAACTATTTTGAGCATGCGTAACTGCATGCCATGTTTATGTGGGATTGTGTATGACGCCCTGGCCATTCAATCGTGTCATATGTATTAAACTTCAATTATTTTATTCACATATTGAATGCCTCTGTTCGTCTCTATGTAAGAGAGACCATCCATTCAGTGCTATCAAGAATTCATTACCATTATCTATTAAGTTCTTAACAATTCAGCCCCCAAACCGAAACCGAAACGAAGTAGAAACTTTCCTGTTTTGTGTGCGTTTTCGTTTAGACGGCCACATCAGATATTACAACTCTTGAAAAAAAAAAAAAAAAAAAAAAAAAATTACGACTCTTACAGGGTAGATACTCTTATCATACAATGTGCCGCCTTAGGCTCTATCAGACCATCTTAAGGCAAAAACATCAACAACTAAAAAACTGACAAAAACAAGTGATTTTTTTTTATTTTTTTTTTTAATACACAAATCAGCCTAATTAGGAAAGGAAATTCATCTGACATGTTTGCTTCTGCAATGAAATAAGCAATGCGAAGTTGGGAACAACTTTATTTGAAAAAGAAAAGAAAAAAAAAAGCAATACGAACAGCAGTAAACCAAATTGCAACATCTCACAGAAGACCAGATATCATGAAACCGAAACCGAAAACGAAAACAGATATCAAAGCGAGATCGCACTAAATAGGAACGAGCAAAGCATTGAAGTGTCTTGATAGGAGGCGTTGAGAGAGGCTTTCACCATCAAGACACTCCAATGCTTTGCGCGTTCCTATTTGGTGCGACCTTGCCTTGCTTTCAGCTTTCCGTTTTGCCTCAGTGATATGTGGTCGGAGATATCATCCGACACGTTTCTATCACCAGGTCGTTTCTAACGATAAACACTCTTATTAACCTACCCTACTCATGCTACAACAGGTTTCTGTGTCATCAAACGAATGTCGCTTGAAGCCCTTTGAACAGTCTTACCTTCGCCAACACCAGGTACGCCCTTCATCACATTGCCCTCATCTTCTTCTCCTTCCCACGACCCTTCTCCTTGGAGGATCTCCGCTACTCCACCATCACTCGGAGATGGTGAGCCCAGCTTGGCAATGGATGCCTCACCCCCTTCTCTCACTGCCACCATGCAGCTTCCTCCTCTACCCGGGTGCGCTCAGCCAGCGCTCCAGCAGCCTTGCCGCATGCTTCTAGCCAGAATGTGTGAACTGAGCTGCCCTCCAACGTTTGGCGCTCGCTAGAGTAGCCGAGGTTGCCGATGCCCAGGCAGTCCATTTACCCAGCGCCCTGGGCCCTTCAAAATACTGCACGAGGTCCTTCTGAAATATGCTACAGGTGCATCATCTGCAACTATCGTCTTCCCTCGAATAAAACGTACGGTCATTCTGCCTGCATTTGGCACAACTTTCAGTCCAGATGCAGCGAGAATGATAGTACGTTCTGTTCAGGTGAAAACGGTAACCCAAAGGCTGGGCCTACTGGTTAGTTAGAGATGTTGCGCGTGGCAGCGTGCAGCAACTACCCAGGGGTCCCAATGCTACTGACATTGGCCTGTACTCAAACCGAGGCACGCCCTCCCTCACATAGGGCGGGCAGGGCCTTTTGCTGGCATTGCCAAGGTCATGAATCCTCCCTCCCCCTCAATTTTGAAAGTCTTTTGAGAAATCGTCAATCACCTGACTGTTTCCCCTTGTCATCCCCGAGAACGATCTGATCTTAGTCGTAGACTAAGGTTGCGACCAATCCCTGATGGCGGCCACCTTCGCATCTTGTCGCCTCAGACCTTCCTCAGATATCTCATGACCCAAGTACAAGAGCCTAGAATGCCCAAATTCGGACTTCCCCATATTGATCTTGTACCGGTGCATTCGCAGGAGGCCTAGCACTATATCTAGATGCTTTATGTGCTCCTCCAAAGTCCTACTGAAGATAAGAATACTGTCGACAAAGACAAATATGACCTTATCTTGGTAGTCATGGCATACCCTATTCATAGCATGATGGTATGTACCGAGCGTATTGCAGAGGCCGAACGACATCCCCACAAAATCACACAGGCCATACCTGCTCCGAAATGCAATTTTGTGCTGATCCTCAGGTCTAATCTAGATTTGATGCTACCCGGACTTCAGATCTATCTTGCTAAGTACCTACACTCCAATCCAAAAGGTCATTGATGCGGGGTAGGGACTTTGCATTCTCCAGAGCGATGGCATTAAGGCCCCTATAATCCATGCACATCCTCAGAGTACCTCCCTTTTCTCGGACGAACAAGACTCGCGCACCACACGTACCTGGCCTTATCCATCCCTTGTCAGGCAATTCCTCGAGCTGCTTGTGAAGCTCATCTAGCTTCGTTCAAGACATCCTATACATCCTACCCCTGGGGACTTCACTTCCTAAGATAATCTCTATTGCATGGACGATCTCTCCTAATCAACAAATCCTGTAGGTTCCTTCTGCAGGTCTGGATACTTAGCAAAGACTCTTTCTATCTTCAGAGGGGTCTTGATGGCTTACCCCTTTCGAGACACAAAGACTAGGTGCATACCCTCCTTTCGTGGTATCGTTAAAAGTAGTTGTAGAGCAAACTAGCGCGCAAACGACCATAGGAGTTTGCCATCTTCTGAAGATTATACCTCTTCGGAAGGACTCTTCTCCCATGTGGCAGTTCATACTTTTTGGTTTTCCTATTCCAGTAAAAATCGGGCTTCGCAACTTCCAAACAGTACATCCCTTTTTATTATTATTATTTTTTTTTTGGGACAATTTGCTCCAATCTATTCGTGGGGAGCAGCACGTGCTGGAAAGCGGGTCCAGCGTCCCACATGAATGATTACACAACATATGAGGTGATGGGGCCATTACCCGGCTTCGGCTAAGTACATCCCTAGGATTATGCCAAATGGGAGTTTGTCGCTGAGGAAGAAGAACAATCAATATCTAATCATCCCTTCCACATCCTCCCCCATACGAGAATGTGCATACTCCATCCCGGATAAAACCTTTCACGACTATTGTCTGCTTGTCGGCCAAGGCGGATACCACTCGTGTACTCAGCCCCTGCACCCGGTACACTAAGAGCAACCTACTTCTACAAGCATGACTGATGTAGTTGCAAGTGGAGCCAATGTCTGCCACGACCCCTGCTTACGGCCACCTACATCGGCTTTCACTACAATCAACTCACCCTTAGCACCTTCTATGATGGTCACCCAGGAAACCATCAAGTCTTTCGGAGACCATTATAGTTCTAGCTCCTCTAAGGATTCAGCCACATCATGTGAACAAAGCACCGATTGGTCTGTATATGGCTGCGGGTTGACACTACCATTTTCACCCGAATAGAACGCCCGGTCATTATCCCTGTATTTGGGGCAATTTTCAGTCCAGATGCAGCGATAATGATCGGGCGTTCTATTCGGGTGAAGACGGTAGGGTCAGTAGTCATTGCCATCATGCTCTCAGAGGTCCAGGGAGTATCTAACCCAGCTGGAATATCTCCTACCTGCTCAGGCCCTGTAGAAGCGACGACTACTTCAGGAATATTTTTTTCGCAAGAAAAAAACATGAGCAGAAAAATATATATATATATATATAGAAAAAAAAAATATATATATCGTCAAATAGAACTGGCCGGTAAACCGTAGGCAGAGAGGGAGAAGAGGACAAATATATATATATATATAGGGTAACTGGCGTTCGGGACGGGTCGAACGCCCGAACCCGAACGCCCGAACGTACGGGACCCCTTCAGAAGGCGTTCGGCTGTTCGGGCCGAACGCGGACCAAAAAAAAAAAAAAAAAAAAAAAGGTTTTCAAAAAATTCCAAAAAAAAAAAAATGTTATGGAGAAAAATAAACTAAACAACATTTGCCTGGGCAGTGCATCCAAATTCTTTACCAAATTTGGATTAAAAGTCAAATATAGAAAATAAACACTATGATAAAAATAAGAAAAAATAAAAAGAGAATTAAAATGAGTGAGTGTGCCAGCACCTTTTTGACACCTCCATCTTTGCCGATTTTTAATTATGTTTTGGCATTGACAAATGCCCTGAAAATTTACAGATATGTAGTTTACATTATCAATAACTCATTAAAAAATTTTCAAAAAATAATAATTTTTTTTAGGCCCCGAAATGAAGTGAAAACAAAAAGTTAAAAGTGAAAAAAAAACAAAATAGTGAGTGGGTGTTACATCTTCGACTCACACGGGTCCTACCGGACCCGACTTAGGGCCGGAGGGACACACCAGGGCCTAAAGGCCCGACCTTTGGGGTTACAGGCCCTAAAGGCCTGATTTTGGACTATCACCCATCGGGTAGGCCCAAACGACACTTCGTTTGGGCCTGGCGGCGCTCTTGAAGCTGCCGCCCGCCGATTGAGGCTGAACCGTCCATCTGGACGGTCCAGGGTCTGGCCTGGCCTCGCAGCATTGAGGCCAGACCATTGCCCACCGGTATAAGTACCGGTATCCGCCTCAGTAGGGGGATCGGCCTACCGGAACTCTACCGGCACGGCATGGCCAGTGCTAGTGCACTGTTTTGATGCGCTAAACTTAGCGCAGGGGCTGAAGCAGGAGCGCAGCAGCGAGCGGAGTGAGCTTGCACGGCGGTTATCACCGCCTGAGGTATCGGGAGCTTGGAGGGTCTCTCCTCCTCTCCCTCGCCAGTCCCCTCTCTCTCTCTCTCCTCTTCCTCCTTCTTCTTCTTCTTCTTCTTCTTCTTCTTCAGATTGGAGACTATCCAGTTGGACAGAGATCAGAGTTGGATTTCGGTGATA